GATAAAAATAGTCTTTTATCACTTGAGTTTTTCTCTTTACTAATAATAGCTTGAAAAACCCAAACCCCTCCAATAATCTTTCCTCTAGAAGACACCTCATAATTGTTCTGAACATATCCTTATAGACTTGATAAAGATATCAAGTTTTACAAATATTAAAGTCATCTCACCTTATAAGACATAGATGGTAGACAATCCTTTATTCTCTAAGACATAAGATCAAAAATAAATCACCTACTATTTCTTCATGGTTGACATCTCCTTTTATTCTAGATACACATATCTTTGAATAAAACATCCAGCAGATCACAAGATAATTCTTAAACACATAAATCTTCATTATAAGTCCATCTTCCATTCAAACAAGAAATAGAAAACCCATATAGTTGTTCTTGAGATAAGTAGGGAATTTTGCTCCACAAAGATCCAAGGTTATCACACTCATGAGAATGCTTTGACATTGATTGATCTATATTTCAGTTCCAGCCTATTCCTTAGCATCACAGACATGTTGAAGTCAATACAGATGTTCTGGACATTTGATCTAGACATTCTGTTCAAACTCTTCAACATCTGATTGGATTTTCTTGCAAGGAACACAATAGTAATAAGAAACCCTTCATTAGAGACCAGAGTAAAATTTCCTATAAGTTTAAAAAAGAATGCTCTTGTTCTTCTTCAATAAATTGTCATTTTCATGTCAAACCTCTTGATTAGAAACTTGACAAAACTTCTCCTTGATCATCTTCACATCTGAATTCTTTTCTTCAAAACACACTTAGATTTGCCTTTATGAGTGTACTTGAGAAATTCCCAAGTATCTTTGGCTACAATACAAGTGATGCAATGAACTTACCGATTCCATAAAACATGAAGTTGATAATTTCAGAGTGACGAAGATCCAACTCAACCTCTTCCCTTTTATCTCTTCAGAACCAAGAATCTCCTATCCTGATAATTCTTTAATCTCTGTTGTCTATTGATAACCAAAATGCTATCACTCCAGTCTTTAAAAAAGAACAGTGGTACCAGAAAAATACTCCTTGAAGCTCACCCAATAGACCAAGGTGCCTGCTCTAATACCAATTGAAATTCTCTGGTACAAGCAACACATGTTCATACTAATATCCCAACATCAGAACAATGTCAAGACAGATGTTACAACATCTGTTTTTGACATCCAGAACAGATTTATCAAGATGCAAGTGATACTGAAATAAAATTGCAGAATGATGAATAACATATAGAGATTTTAACCTAGTTCGGTGCAAATCACCTACTCTGAGGGCTACAAGGCCAAGAAGGAAATTAACTTTCAGTAGTATTAATTCAAAGATAAAAAATCCCAGTTTACAACTTCTCACTTAATCCCTACCCGATGCAACTTCTACATAGGAACTCCTAGATATGAGAAATCACCCTCTCACTTCCAATCACCGCAATGATATGTAATAGTCCCAATCCAAGTGACTGTATCAAAAACAACTCAACAAGAAGATTACACTTCCAATACAACAATACTTAGTTAAGACTCTTAACTAAGAACAATACTTGGTTTTGCTTAAAATCTTCAACCAAGAACAATACTCAACTCATTAGCTAAAGGCTTATGAGTGAGAATATTATGTCGACCACAAGTATCAAAAGATACAAGGGTGACTTACAACTACTCAAGAGACTCTCAAAACCTAAGACTCTAAGCTTTCCTTAATTTATAAATTATTGAAAGATTCGATTACATTAGGTCAGGTCTTCTATTTAAATACACCTCTATATTCCATGGGCTTCAAATTCTGCGTCCAGAAGTTTCTTGATCCATAAGCTGAGTGATGCATCAATTGTGCAACAAAATATTCTTAAATCTTGGAATAAACAATACAAAGTTTCCTAAATTGTCTCAAGGCCCAATTTAGTAACCAATGTACAACTGGAGATATAAAACATATTCTATATTAAATATTCTTGACCTACGAAATATACTGAGGCATATCCAAAAGAAATATCACAGAATCAAATCAAATATGTCAAGATTTAAATCAAATCAAAAGCAAGAGAATACTTAGATACAATTTCATAGGTGTGATTCATACTTTTCTACAATAAAAATATGACAAATATTACTTAAATATCTTTTATAGAGTAAAAATAGGAGAAAATACATATGTGTAAGTGGAAATTATAAAGTTGTCATATTTTCATTGAAAAAATATAAACTACACTTAAGGAATTGTAGTTAAGTTTTTTTTCTAAAAATCAAATTTTTTTCATAAAAAACAATAAAGCATCACACCAACATGAGTCATAACTAATGTCTGAACATCCAACATCTCACCCAAGCTTAACCCAATAACTTTGGAATTAAGCTTCATTGTCGTTCTCTGTAGGGTGTAAGGATACTTCTGCTCACATTCAAACCTAAGATAGACAAAAAGGAAAAATGTATATATCAGAAATCATACTGAATAGTACATTTAAGGATAATAAATCATAGAATGATATGGGATGACAACAATGGATGGTAGCAATGGTATGACCATACCTCTACATCATGTGATTTGTGGTTGTAATGCACCTTGCCTTCGTTTTTGAAGGACTAAAAGTTCATCTTGTTTCATAAAAACTAACTCTTCTTTTTGTTTACTTATAAAGCAACTAATGAACCATTTGACAAAGGGAATGAAATCTTGGTTCATAAACATCTGAGTATAGTACTCATCTTTAAAGCTTGCTAACACTAGAGCAGAAAAAGTTTTAAAAAACCATTTTCTAAATTGAGTGTATCTTTCATGCTGAAACTCTTTATTGACCAGGTTTCTTATATTACTACCTGGAGAATAATCTAACATTATAATGGGAAGTCCATATCTGAGGGAGTAGGTGATTCTACTCTAGAAGGATTTGGGTTTTGATATATCTCATGGGGAATTTTGTTTTCGCTAAGTCTTATATTCTCAACTATTTATATTTCCTCTCTTAATTAAGAAGTTGAAGGTCTAGCTAATTGACTAGGAGTAGTGTAAAACTCATTTATAGAATTCACAGAATGTCTTCCAGACATAGATCTAGGTATTCTAATTATTCTTTTAGAGATAAAGTTTATCTCCAAATCTCCTTCATTAGTCTGGATTATTTGACCAACATCCTTATTAAGGATGGGTTCAGGTTCTATGGCCTGAGGAAGATTCCAGGTTTCTGAAAAATTAATTTCATCCTATTTTAGCAACCTATTAGTTGCAACATTATATGTTAATAAATTGGTTTGAACTAAAGTAGTAGTTCCAGGAAACGATATTTGTTTAGCTTTAGGATTTAAAGTGGTAAGAACTTTGTAATAAATCCTGTAACATATAGTCATAATTTCACTACCAGGTTTAAAGTTGTAACCATTGGTATGAATAGTTAATTGAAGAGCATCTAATAAATTTTTATCAGACATAGATAAGCTTATATTGGAATAGACATAAAAATAAACTGGTCCATGACATAAGCTTGTCTCAATTAAAGCAGCTAAAGATTGTTTAAAATCTTTACATCTACCATCTTTAATATATATCCCAAAATGCTAATATTTAATCCTAGCAAAGTTAAAGGTTTAACAACAACTTGTATTAAACCAACATGGATATACTTATAATTTTTAAAATGAATTAAATCTTTTTTTGTTAAAAGTTTGATCGTCTGAGTACTTTCAGAAATTTGAAAAGTTTGTTCTAAGCTTTTAACAGCAAAACGAGATAATATATCTATTTTGCCAAATTTATAAATTTGGTTCGAAGATACTGATGGAATTGTCAATTTGTTAAGTTTATCCATTTTTTTGGATATTCCACAAGTTCTTCATGTTTAATCAAACTGTTTTGATGATTATCATCATCAGAATCCGTAAATATAACCGGTTAAGGATGTTGTGGCAGATTAACTATCTTAGGTAAAATTAAGTAGGTAAATATGACTCATGATCTTAATACAAATATATCCAAGCAACAACTGATAAGTTATCTTTGCAAACAAAACGTTGGAGTAAGAATGCACATATGATGTTTGATGAAAAGCTTTACAAGATGCTAACATTTTTGAATAATATTGTCTTTCCTTACAGGAAAACGTGTCTCCACTATTATTAATATCCTCTTCACCCATCAAATTGTTACCAAATCTATGGTTAGTTTGAGCAAATTTGAGGCAATTTTGAATCAAATTCAGCCAAAGTTTATGCTTTTTGAACTCATTGCATTTTCAAGAATTGAGGTTGGTTCTGCTTTACTATATTTTTTTTCCTGAACTTATGGCATTTTATTCTAGTAAATTGGGTGAAGTTACACAATTTACAGTTTACTGCTTAAATCTGAGGCATGTTTTTACTTTGCTTCCTATATGCTAGTGCTTCAAAAAAGAAATTTGTTAAGGATATAGAAGAACTAAAAAGAGTAAGTTTTTTTAATTTTCTTGATGATTAATTACATTAAAAAGATCCTCCTACATGCAATTAAATAAATAAAAAAGCAAGAGAATACTTAGATACAATTTCATAGGCGCGGTTCATACTTTTCTACAATAAAAATATGACAAATATTACTTAAATATCTTTTATAGAGTAAAAATAGGAGAAAATACATATGTGTAAGCGAAAATTATAAAATTGTCATATTTTCATTGAAAAAATATAACCTACACTTAAGAAATTGTAGTTAAGTTTTTTTCCTAAAAATCAGATTTTTTTCATAAAAAACAATAAAGCATCACACCAACATGAGTCATAACTAATGTCTGAACATCCAACATCCCACCCAAGCTTAACCCAAGAACTTTGGAATTAAGCTTCGTTGTCGTTCTGTGTAGGGTGTAGGATACTTCTGCTGACATTTAAACATAAGATAGACAAAAAGAAAAAATGTATATATTAGAAATCATACTGAATAGTACATTTAAGGATAATAAAGCATAGAATGATATGGTATGACAACAATGGGTGGTAGCAATGGTATGACCATACCTCTACATCATGTGATTTGTGGTTGTAATGCACCTTGCCTTCGTTGAACCTCGGTAGGAAAGAAACTTTTAATGATGTTGAGTTCCTTTATAACATCGACCATGTTCATTCTTTCTTTTGGTGATTCCACTGAACAAGAAAGTGCAATCCTAAATATTGAAAGTAGACATTTTTCTACATTAGGATCTATACTACAAGAGTTCCCATTCTCACTATTGTTTTCTAATTCAATGGGGAGAAGAGACCGGTCCACAATCTGGAAAAGGTGATTTGGAATTGAGTGTTTCACATAATTATGGAGATTATGATCATCTTTAAACATTTCATCTGTGGGTCTCCTTCCAGTTAATATTTCTAATACCAGTATTCCAAAACTATACGTGTCGCCTTCAATCGACACTTCCAAACCCATTCCGTACTCTGAAAAGTAAGAAATAAAGTTCTTATAATTATCATCACTATATTAACAAAAAATATTTAGAAACTCACAAATTTTAAATTAATAAAACAGTGTCAGGTTCTACCTAGGGGTGCATATCCAACTGTCCCCATCACTCCAATTGTGCTACTTTGCTTCAGAGAGATACTGGCACTTGAGACCAATCTTGCTAAGCCAAAATCACTCACTTGTGCTACCAGGGAGTCATTAAGAAGAACATTTGCTGGCTTTAAATCACAATGAATGACAGGTTGCTCGCATTCGTAGTGAAGATAACAAAACGCTGACGCAACATCAATAATAATATTGAACCTTTGCTCTAGATTTAATGATCTGGGCTCATCTGTCATTTCTGTTGTGGGATGCAACCAACTTTCTAAGTTTCCATTTCTCATGTACTCAAATGCAAGAGCTTTAAACTCACCTCCTTTATAATCTGTGCTGGAACAGCATGTCAGAATTTTTACTAGATTCCGGTGTCTAATATGTTTTAGCGCGTTACATTCAGCAATGAAACTCTTGTGAGATCCCTTCTTTGTAAGGTTTAGGACTTTTATGGCAACAAATCCTTCTATCGACTCAAGTGTTCCTTTGTAGACAGAACCAAAATTTCCAGATCCTATCAAGTTGCTTTTCGAGAACCCATTGGTTGCCCTGTGTAGGTTTTGGTACGAAACCTTAATCATCTGATCAATTATTGGTGAATCAAAAGATGGTTTTTTTATCGTTCCCCTCCTCCAATAGATTGTCAGAATAGATAGCATAATGAAAAGAAAAGAAACTACACTAACTATCCCTGCCATCAACTTCAAATTATAGTGTTTTGTACCTTTAATAGGGCATGGTGGTAGATGTAACTCCAAAATTCCTCCACAAAGCTTATTGTTTCCAATCACTGTAAATGCACTTGCATTTCTAAAGACACCTTTAGTTGGTACCTCTCCTTCCAACATGTTGAACGATACAATGAAATATTCAAAGAAAGGAATATTTTGCAAAGCTTTTGGAATCAACCCAGATAGTTGATTTTTAGAAAGATCCAACACTTTAAGAACTTTGAGAGATTCCAAAGAGTGAGGTATGCTTCCATTGAATGAATTCCCTGCCAAAATAAGGTATTCTAAGCATATGCATTTCCCCAAGGTTATAGGAATTTTACCAGACAAACGATTTTTAGAGACATCAATCGTCACAATATTTTGTAGATGGCCGAGTTCATCAGGTAGGCTGCCACTCAAAAAGTTTTGTGATAAGAACAATCCTATTGTTAAAGATGAAATGCTGAAGACCTCTGGGGGTATGACTCCTCTAAGGTTGTTTTTTGAAAGGTTTAACATTTGTATGTTTTGGCAGTTCCCTATACTTGAAGGAATAGTTCCCTCTAACATATTATTTCGTAAAGTCAAACGAAACAGTCGACTGAGGTTTCCTATAAAGGATGGTATTTCACCTGACAACCTGTTCCCACCCAAATTTAACACTTGCAGCTTTTGAAGCTTCCTGATAGATGAAGGAATTCTCCCTTCAAAATGATTATCTTGCATGTTTAAGAGAATTAAACTATTTAGATTTCCTAATTCTAAAGGAATTTTCCCATATATTTGATTATACCCAAGATATAGTCGACTAAGTTGGGTGGATAAGTTGCCTATGGAACTTGACAAACTACCTCCAAAATTATTATAGGATAAAGAAACCACTTCCAACTTACTACAGTTTATCAATGATTTCAAAAATTCTAAGTCATTACGTGAATTGTAACCAAAATTATTTATTTCCAAATTTATCCACCAAAGATATTTTAGCCTCCCAAAACTTGGAACTTTTCCGACAAAATAGTTTTTGCTGACACCAAGTACCGTCAGGGTAGAAGCATTTGCAATAGAAATGGGCATTAGACCTGAGACATTATTACCACCAATTGAAAACACTTGGAGATTGGGGAGGTTGTTAAACATGTTGGCTGGAAGAGAGCCGTTAAATTGATTTTGTGCAGCAGAGATCGTAGTAAGAGATGACATATTGTATATGCAAAGAGGAAATGTGCCAGACAAGTAGTTGACTGATAATACCATGACTGTCAACTTTTTGAGGCGGCATATTTCTTGTGGAATATCTCCCTCTAAATTGTTATAAGGAACTGAAAGATCTGTTAATAATGAAAGATTCCCTATGCTTGCTGGGACTCCTCCGATCAAATTGTTCCCGCTAACACTCAATTTTTGAAGCTTTTGAAGAAAGCCAATTTCAATTGGTATTTTTCCAATCAAATTGTTTCGTCTCAAGTTTAAGTATATAAGATTGTAACAATTTGTCAAGTTTATAGGAATCTTTCCATCAAACGAGTTATTGGTGAGATAGAGTTCTTGTAATTGTAACAAGTTACCCAACTGTTGTGGGATTATTCCAAAGAACTTGTTGTCTGCAAGGTTGACAATCTTCAAAAAAGAGAGATTAGCCACATGAGAAGATAAGGATCCATGCAGCTTGTATCCAGGTAAGTTTATTTTTGTAACTCTTTGATGCTTCAGATTGCATGTAATTCCATGCCAATTGCAGAAATGGCTCGAACCATTCCAAGAATCAAGGATTCCATATGGGTCATTGGTTATTAATTGCTTGAATTTGAGCAATGCTAAATGATCAGTCTGGTTTCCTAAGGTGAATGCAATTGTTTTCGGCCAGAAGTTGAAAATAAGGAGTAAAAGAAACCAAAATGAAAATGTAGGAAACATGAGGGAAAAGGCTTTGAGGAATCAAGAGGGTGTGTTATAGTTATGCAAATGATTTGAGTATTTTAGTTAGATAGATTGGTATATATAGATAGGTTTGATAGTTGAGTGGGAACACCAAAGATTATTCCTTTGGCTTTGATACTGAAGGATTTTGTTATAATTGTTTGTCCCATATGAATTTTAAATATTGTAGGTAACATTTTATGATACATTTAAATTGCTAAATTGATAATTGATAATTGATTTTTATGTAAGTCTCATTCCTTCACTCTGTAGCATTATAGATTGGGAGCTTAAAAACTGGAGGCAAAACGATGACCAAGACCGATGGTTGAAAACTCCTTAAATTATTGGAAAGGGCAACATATAATTAACTTATAAATAGTTCTCGTTCTTAGCCTTGGCAGCAACGGTGTCCCTTTTTCTTAATTTTTTTAACAAGTTCTTGCACTTGGATATAGGCATGGCAACAAAACTCATACATGTGGGTACCCATCCGAACCCGCCTCGAAGTTCACGGGGAAAATCTGTTTTGACTGGGTTTGGGTTCGGGTTTGGGTTTTCCCCAATTATAAAATATGGGGACGGGTCAGGTAATGGGGACACTAGTACCCACCCCGAACCCGTCCCCGAACCCGTTCGTTTATTTCATTAGGTATATTAATATTTGTTTTTTATAATTTAAAATATTAAATATGTGGCCAATGTTTTGACAATTTGATTTATATTTATCATTTGAAATATTTGAAATGTATGTATGAAATTTTTTGAGATTATTTTAATTTATTACTTTATAATGTAATTTGATTTTGGAAAAAATAAATATTTCTATTAAAAAAATTGATTTTACTAAATGAATGATGGCGGGGCGGGGATACCCGAACTCAACCCGAACCCGTTGAGATGGGTTTGGGTTTTAATTCTCCATCCCCGTTTGAGTTTGGGGCGGGGAACAGGGATTGTTTGGGGATTCAGGTTTGAGTTTGGGGGAGGTAAAAACCGTCTCCGACCCGCCCCGTTGCCATACCTACTTGGATAGAGTGTAAGGTCATGGCTTTAATGGTGGACTTAATACTTCAGGGTATCAAAATATGACCCTTTTTTTTCCTCTCGAAATCAACATGATATGATTTTACTTAAGCGTTATGTTCCTTTTTTATTTTACATAATTATTATTATTATTACTTTAAATATTTGATAGTTTTTTTTAATTTTTAAATAAAATTTGATGTATTGAAATTTTATTATTGAGAGCCTTCTGTTAGAACATAATTTGATTCTACAACCCTTAGTTAGAGTTTTGATGATAACAAATACAAAGAACAAATATGCACCCTAAAAATTATGGTATTGTGTATACAGAAGTTCTGACCAAAGCAACATCAGAAGATTATCTATAGAAGCTACACGCTGAAGCAATCAGAATTTACGCTGAAGATTAATGACCAGAATATGCGCTTAAGTGAAGTAAACTCTGATTCTGAACAAGAGCATAATAAACTAAGTCATCAATGTGTTGAAGCATCAGCAGCAGGCAAGGATGAAAAGATTCTGAAGCGTTATTATTCATTCAAGACTGCATCAATTACAACGGCTTCTTTCAGACAGGATCTGCTCCAAATGGAAACTGAGTTAATGACATTTATCATGCTTAATGGTCAACGAGAATCCATTTCCTATATAAACAAACTCAGTGATCAAATCGGTAACGATTTTGCCAATTTTATTCACGAGAATTCAAAAAACTACAAGCATACTTATCATATTTCCACGCTCTCATTTTGTGTAAATTATCACAGTTGTGATAACGGTTTTTGTAAAGAAAAACAACAACACACAGTACTCTTGTTTATTTGATTAAAATAGTGTTCCTTGAGATTAACCGAATTGTGGTTGTACTCGAGAAGACTTTAACAGTTGTTAAAGTAGTGATTGTAATCCTTTTGAGATTAGTGGATTAAGACCTCGTTGGAGAGAGGCGAAATCACCTTGACGGGTGGACTGGAGTAGTTTGAGATCAACCGAACCAGGATAAAAATACTGTGTCATTGTGCTTTTGATTTCAAGTTTTCAATTCAACCCCCCTCCTTGTGTTTTTCACTTCTTCAATTGGCATCAGAGTGCCTGGTTCTGAGCTTAAACACTTAACCGTGTCAGTACAAGATCCAAGCTGCAGAAAAACACTATGGTGGGACCAAGCCAAAACATCAGCAATGATTACCATGAAGACAAGGACAGATTCAGTGGCAAACCTCCAGTCTTTGATGGAGAAAACTTTTACTACTGGAAAGATAGAATTGAGAGTTTCTTTCTGGCCCATGATGCTGATCTGTGGGACATGGTAACTGATGGATACACACATCCAGTGGATGGAAGAGGTCAGAAGATAGACAGAAAAATGATGTCTGACCAGCAGAAACGTGACTTCAGAAATCACCATAAGGCCAGAATAATACTTCTCAGCGTTATCTCATACTCAAAATATGAGAAAATATCAAACAGAGAGACTGCCAAGAACATGTTTGACTCTCTGAGAATGACGCATGAAGGCAACATTCAAGTCAAAGAAACCAAGACCCTTGCGCTTATTCAGAAGTATGAGGCATTCAAGATGGAAGATAGTGAATTCATAGAAGCTATGTTTTCAACATTCCAAATCCTTGTTGCTGGACTGAAGGTTCTTGACAAAGGGTATTCTACTGCTGATCACGTTAAGAAGATCATCATAAGCTTACCCAAGCAATGGAGGCCAATGGTCACAGCACTTAAGCTAGCCAAAGATCTCAACAAAATATCTCTGGAGGAACTTGTCAGCTCCCTCATAAGTCACGAGATAGAGCTAGAAGAAGATGAGCCTCAAAATCAAGGTAACCCACTAGCTTTAAAATCTAACAGAAAATCTGACTCTAAGGTTTTGCAGGCTGTGGAAGAAACTTCTGATGGATCCTCATCAGAAGAAGATGAACTGTCTCTCCTCTTCATAAGGGTGAACCAACTGTGGAAGCAGAGACAAAGGAAATTCAGAAATCCTAGAAGATCAGAGAATCAGAATGAATCCTCCTCCAGATACAGAAAGTCTGAGTCTTCCTCTGGACACAAGATCTAAAGGTTCTTCAGGATACAGAAAGCCAAATAACAAGAACATCATCTGCTATGAGTGTAACGAGCAAGGGCACTACAAAAGTGACTGCCCAAGGCTTTAGAAGGAGAAGCCCAAAAAGAAGTTCTTCAAGGAAAAGAAGAAAAGCCTCATGGCAACTTGGGATGATTCAGACACCTCTGAAACTGACTCAGAGTCAGATGATGAAAGAGAAAACATAGCTCTCATGGCAAACGTGTCAGAAGAAAGTGAAGCTTCTGGTTCAGACTCAGAATCAGACACTGAAGAGACATCCTTAGCATCAAGGCTAAAACACCAGTCATGGTACCTGGACTCTGGCTTCTCTCGACATATGACGGGAAGAAGGCATGTGTTCCAAAGCCTGGAACTTAAGCCTGGAGGCTACGTGGGCTTTGGAGGCAACCAAAGAGGAAATATCATTGGCTCTGGAACAGTAGGTAATGGAAATCTTCCCTCTATAAATAATGTGTTATTAGTTGATGGATTAATGCATAACCTGTTACCCATAAGTCAATTAAGTGATAACGGTTATGATATAATCTTTAATCAAAATTCATGCAAAGCTGTTAGTCAGAAAGATGGGACTATCTTATTTAATGGAAAGAGGAAAAACAACATTTATAAAATAAAACTTTCTGAACTAAAGAGTCAGAATGTAAAATGCCCACTTTATGTTAACAACGAGCAATGGATCTGGCACAGAAGATTGGGGCATGTTAGTATGAGAATAATATCTCAGATTAACAAACTCAATCTGGTCAGAGGACTTCCAAACTTGAAGTTCAGCTCAGATACTCTGTGTGAAGCATGTCAAAAAGGAAAATTTGCAAAACCTGCTTCCAAATCCAAAAATGTTGTTTCCACCTCTAAGCCATTAGAACTTCTGCACATTGACTTATTTGGACCAGTAAAAACTGCGCCTGTCAGTGGCAAGAAGTATAGGTTAGTAATCGTAGATGACTATAGCATATGGACATGGGTAAAGTTCTTAAGACACAAGGACGAGTCACACTCTGTGTTCGTTATCTTCTGCAACCAAGTTCAGAATGAAAAGGATCTTAGAATTGTCAAAGTCATAAGTGATCATAGTGGGGAATTTGAAAATAAAAGTTTTGAATTATTTTTTAATGAAAAAGGCATCTTGCATGACTTCTCTTGTCCTAGAACTCTCCAACAAAATGGAGTTGTAGAACAAAACATTGCAAGAAATGTCCAGAATCATGATTAATGAGACTAACATTGCTAAGATCTTCTGGGCAGAGGCAATCAACACAGGGTGTTACATTCAAAATAGAATCCCCATAAGACCTATTCTGGAAAAGACTCCATATGAATTGTGGAAGAACAGAAAGCCCAACATTTCTTATTTTCATCCATTTGGATGCACTTGCTTTATTCTGAATACAAAAAATTATTTGAACAAGTTTGACTCTAAAGCACAAAAGTGTATTATGTTAGGATACTCTGAACACTCAAGAGGATACATAGTATACAATATAGAAACAGAGATTGTTGAAGAGTCAATCAGTGTTAGGTTTGATGATAAGCTTGACTCTCAAAAGTCAAAGCAGAATGAATTCCTTGCAGGTATGGAAGTTGAACTCATAGGTACTGAAGACAACTCGTTAGAAGTTCTCAACAGAGACACTCCCACTACATCAGAAAGAGTCACTGCAAGCAATCCAGCACCTTCAGTTGATCAACTTCAGAAAAGGCTATCCAGAAGCAGCATAGCTCACCCAGAAGATAAAATACTGGGAAAGAAGGATGATCCAATCAGAACAAGATCAACATTCAGAAGCTCTGAAGAATCCCTCATGGGGCTGGTCTCTCTGATTGAACCAACAACAATTGATGAAGCGCTTCTGGACAATGACTG